CCCCCCCCCCGCCCTTGTTTTTGGTTTTTAACGTTTGCTGTTACTCTGATGGCTTTGGGGCCATCCTGATGGGAAAAATTACTTTCACTGAATTCTCTAACAGTCCTTGAGTTACTTGACATGTCAGAGGCCAATTCCGTCTTCATGTTCATTTTCTCACTTGGTGAAGACCCCAGAAAAGGGAGAAAAGGAGGCGGTACCGGAATTTCAGTTTGCTGCTCTTTGGGATTGCACAGGCCAGTGAAATAAGGGGGAAAGAGGAGGAGACTGTGTAGGTGGCAGGTTTTGACTTTATCAAGTAAAGATGATTAACAACTCAACAAACATGTCGTTCCCAACCATATCGCATTTTGTACTCTTAAGAATGTTTACTTGTTGATTTGCTGTCTACTCTTATAATATTTAAAACAAAGGAAAGTCATGGCTCCCGAAAACGTAAAATGACAAAGATTCTACTCTAACAGATGTCCAACGGATTCAAAGGAGAAACAAAGACCTCTCAAACCCAGGCAATCAGGAATGTCAAAGTAAATTTACAAATAGATGGAAAACATAGTCAGTATCTACAGGGCAATAATCAATTGCATTCCTCTGGATAGCACCATTTGCATTTCTATGGTGTATTACTGTTGTTTCACAACAGAGTTGTGAAATAGCTCAAAGACATCGAAAGGCATTGGTAATCTGGAGGAGAATGCCGGCCAGTCTACCTTTGTTACTCATCTCAGAGTCTTCTATAACATCTAGAAACCAGGGATTGTGTCTGTCTGTTACCTGTGTCCCCAGTGCCCCGAATCTTGCAGGCTCCCAGTGAAGATTACGTGAATGAATGACTGTTCTGTAGAATTCTGCCTAAACTCCCTAGTGCCTTTTTGGAGGTAAAAAGCAGTACCACACAGACCAAATAGTATTATGAAATCGTAGGGAGATATTGTTGTTTGTGAAAAGCTCTTAAGCAGTTCTTATTTTTTACCAAAAAATGGGGTGGGGGATAGAATGGGGAGGATGAGATTAGTGTTAGAGACACAGCCTTACTAGAGGTTTAAAAATTATCTAACCTCCCGTTCTAGCCTGGTGGGTCTCAACCAGGGACAATTATGCCCTCCAGGACATTTCACAATATCTGAAGGCATCTGTGGTGGTTTGGGGGTGGGGTGGGGAGCTGCCGCCGGCATGTAGTGTAGAGAAGCCAGGGTTCCTGCTAAGCATCCTACGATGCACGAGAAAGCCCCCACAATAAAGGAATGTTCAGCCCAAATGTCAGTAGTGCCCCGTGCCCCGGTTGAGAAACGGATCTAGGGACCTAGCACGTTCACCGAAAACCATTCACAGAGAAGATTCCAGGCACCCGAGGAATTTCATCGCTTCTCCCCTCAGCTGAAGTTTACCCGAAACATTTTTTATTAATTCTGGGTTCCCATATTCCCTGCCTCCGTGTCAGCCCTGCTCACGCCCTTGACTTCTTGTCTACTTACTGCCAATGCACTGTAAGCAGGAGGAGCCCGTCTGGAGGCCTCTGTGAAAACAAGGCCTGTACTGAGAGACTCCACACAGATTATGGCCTTCGCCTACCGTCTGTTGGTGAGGTTGGGTGGCATCTTGCACCTCAGTTTCTCTGCTGTCTGGAAAGCAGAGGCTGGACTAGGTTGGCTTACCTGTCCAAGACCTTTCTGTTCCAGGTATCAGTACCAGAAGAAGCTTCCTGTGCTCAGGGCCTACTGGTTAGAGAGGGCTCTCAAGGGTCCCTGAAAGGGGCTGTTCCTCTGAAAGCAGAACCCTGAGGTGACCATTCCTAGGACCATGAGGAGAAGGCAGGGCCGGGCCAGGGAGAGGGAAGCCGTGTCCTGCCGGGTGGGACCCCAGTTGCCTGCCCCTCCAATTACTGTCCTGCCCCAGCCCTGCCTCTCTCCCGGCCCCTCGCACTGCTCTCAGAGGCCCCAGGGGCCTCTCTCCTACCTCCTGCAAGCATCTAGATCTCTCTCAAGATGGGATGAAAGCTTTTAAGTGCTTCTCTTCCTGTGGAATTGCTTTTCTGGAAGGGTCTTAAACAGTGCCTTCTCCAATGGTTATAAAAGTGCCCTGGAAAAAAATTTTGGAAAATACACTGTCACCTCCCGCCTCTTTTTTAAAATTAATGTATTTTTTTAGATTTGCATCCAACTTAGTTAACGTATAGTGTGATAATGATTTCGGGAGTAGAACCCAGTGGTTCATCCCCTACATATAAAACTCAGTGCTCATCCCAACAAGCACCCTCCTTAATGCCCATCCCCCATTTAGCCCATCCCCCCCCACCTCCCCTCCAGCAGCCATCAGTTTGCTCTGTATATTTGAGTCTCTTATGTTTTGTCCCCTTCCCGTTTTTATACTATTTTTGCTTCCTTTCCCCTGTATTCATCTATTTTGTATCTTAAATTCCACATATGAGTGAAGTCATATGATATTTGCTTTTCTCCAACTGACTAATTTCGCTTAGCATAATACCCTCCAGTTCCATCCACGTAGTTGCAAATGGCAAGATTTCATTCCCTTTGATTGCCGAGTAATACTCCATTGGATATATAGACCACATCTTCTTTATCCATTTATCCATCAATAGACATTTGGGCTCTTTCCATACTTTGGCTACTGTTGATCATGCTGCTATAAACATGGGGTGCATGTGCCCCTTCGAAACAGCACGCCCGTGGATAAATGCCTAGTAGTGCAATTGCTGGGTCATGGGGTGGTTCTATTTTTGATTTTTTGAGGAACCTCCATCTGTTTTCCAGAGTGGCTACACCAGCTGATTCCCACACCCCTCTCTTTTCATATGAAAATGTTACCACCTCTGGAGACTCAGAGGAGGCTCTGTGGTCTTTTAAAAAAAATTATTTAGGGGCGCCTGGGTGGCGCAGTCGGTTAAGCGTCCGACTTCAGCCAGGTCACGATCTCGCGGTCCGTGAGTTCGAGCCCCGCGTCAGGCTCTGGGCTGATGGCTCGGAGCCTGGAGCCTGTTTCCGATTCTGTGTCTCCCTCTCTCTCTGCCCCTCCCCCGTTCATGCTCTGTCTCTCTCTGTCCCAAAAATAAATAAAAAACGTTGAAAAAAAAATTAAAAAAAATTATTTATTTAAAAACATTATAAAAGTGATACATATTCGCTAAAGAAAATAGAAAGGATAAACAAAAGTTATAAGATTCGCCTGGATGTACCCCACTAATGCAAGATGTTAATGTGGAAACTGCTGAGTTTGGGGTTGGGAGGGGTGGATATGGAATGGGTATAGGAAGCTCTTTCTGCTATCTGCTCCAATTTTCTGTAAATCTCAAACTACTAAATACATAGTGTATAAATTAAGTTACATTTTATTTTTTATTTTATTTTTTAAATTTTTTAGTTGTTTTTATTTTGTTTTTTTCAATATATGAAATTTATTGTCAAATTGGTTTCCAATATTTTATTTTTTAAAGATTATTATTATTTTTTTTTATTTTTTTGAGAGAAGGAGAGAGCACAAGGCGGGGAGGAAAAGAAAGAGAGAGGGAGACGGAGAAGTCATGGCAGGTGCCACACTGTCAGTGCAGAGCCCAACGCAGGGGCTCGAACTCACGAACCATGAGATCATGGCCTGCGCCAAAATCAAGAGCTGGAGGTTTAACCGACTGAGCCACACAGGCGCCCCTAGTACACTATATTTTAAATATCTACCTAGGATCTTTTTTGTCCAGAGACAACCACTGGATGATCCCATTTTGCTCACTCTTTGATTAGGGGAAAATAAAAATATCCCTAGCAGTAGGGGGTGGCAGGATTGGAACGGCTGACCTTGTAGGAGTGTTAACCGCGTGCTCGCATTGTGCTCTGTGCTTTATGCTCCCGTGACGCACTGAACTTTTCCAGCTCTGTAACAAGCCTTACAGAGCGCTTCCTCTGGGTAGCCACTCTTCGGACTGTCTTGTATTCACGACGAACTCATTTAATCCTTCCAACAATCCTATGAGGCTGGTACTATCCCCGTTTTGCAGGAGGAAACTGAGGTCTGGCAGTTTGTAAGTTGTCTCAGCCTCTGCAGTGGGGAGGTGGTGAAAGTTATACAGGATCTCTGACGACACAGTCACTTGGATGTTACTCGAGATTTTAGAAAATGAGGGCACGGTCCGGTGATGGCGGCCACGCACAGGTTCCACAAGAACCAGAGGAAGCTTGGAGAATGTTCGGAATCGGGGTAAATACCTACTAACTGGAAGGGTCATAATTGTGATTATGCTGATCACAGGAGGCCCTTTGTCCGGCCTGCCAGAGCATGAAAAAGCAAGGCCCTGGAACCCAGCCTCGTTCCTTCCCTAACCGTGTTGCTCTGTGCGGGCCACTCTGAGCTTCAGTTTCCTCACCTGCAAAATGGGTTTGATTTAGTCCTAGTTGGCAGAACCGTGGGAGGATTAAATATGAAACTCCGTGCATGTTTTAGGCACAGGATAAAAACCAAAGCTCACGTGTATTGACCCCCAGCTGTGTGGGGGGACACCGGACTACAGGTGGTCACAGTCCCTGGCCTTTTCTCTTAGTCTGTGTGGTAGTGGAGTGGAGAAGGGGGTCTGGGTGTGAACTGGGTGGGGCTGGAGGCAGACTTCCCTTCCCGGGGAGCACGCCCGGGAGAGGGTGGGGCCTACTCTGATGCTATGTTCGGGACAACTGGTGTTTCCATTTCCTCCACTCAACAAGCATTCGTTGATGGGGCGCCTGGGTGGCTTGGTGAAGCACCTGGCTTGATTTCGGCTCAGGTCGTGATCTCGCTGTTCCTGAGATGGAGCCCCAAGTTGGGACAGCACAGGGCACGTTTGGGATTCTTTCCCTCTCTCTCTCTCTCTGCCCCTCCCACACTTGCACATTTGTGTGTGCGTGCCCTGTCTCTCTCTCTCTCTCAAAATAAACAAATAAGCTCAAAAACCCAAAAAACCCCAAGCATTTGCTGACTGTTGAGCGTGCTCTGTGTCACGTGCCCAGCAGTGTTGTGGATGCAGGAGAAAGCAGGAAGCAAGGCAGACCAGGTCTGTTTGCCAAACTGTGCTATTTTCCCCGAGAAAGGTGCAACGCGGCAATTCTAAAGGCATGTTTCTTTTCATGAGGAGCTTCATGTGGCCTGAGGTAAGTCACACTTCTTAGTTGGGGATCCGCCCTTCCTCATCCAGGGTCCCAGAAACACATATTTGGTGGCTCCACCCTTACAGCAGACATATGAAAAGGCACCCGTACTCCGCGTGAAATAGATTAGGTGTCACTACTTTAAACTTTGCATTGGCTGCAGCAGGTTAGTTTACAGGGTTTTACGTTTTGAGGCTCTTCAATCACATACGGATTTAAAAAATTTTTGTTCATTTGTTTTTGAGAGAGAGAGAGAGAGAGAGAGAGCGCGCGCAAGCTGAGGAGGGGCAGAGAGAGAGAGGGAGACACAGAATCCGAA